TCAATTGTGTAAGATATCCAAAACCTATACTTATAAATATGTATTCATTAAATAACAATCATTAAAATATTTTTTATTATAATTATTAGTAAGATTTAAAGCTATCATAAATGTGTATTCATCAAATGATGATCATTGCAATATTTTTTATTATAATTTTTAGTAGAATTTATTCCATTTAAAAATAAAAAATTTAATTGTATTGAATAGTTTCATTAAAATAATAATTTTTAATTTTAATAGTGTTGTATAATTTAAATATTAATATTTTTTATTTTTTTAATATTTTAAGTTAAATATAAATATCCATCAAACTTATACTCATAAACTTAGTATAAAGAGTTTTTGTTGTTCTTTGGAAAAGCATGAGACATTTTTTTTGGTTAACCTTATTGACTAGTAAAATATTTTACATCTGGAATTAATTTTCCGTCTACTAAACAAGCATAAGTCTTTAAAACATTTTCCAAAAAATATTTTAAAACTAAACAAATGGACCCTTGAATATAAAAAAGTTCATTAAGAGCAATTTTGTCCAAAAATATTTTTTCTTGACTAAAAATAGTTAAAATTAAAAAGAAGATTATTTGTTAAAATACTTTATCTTTGAGGGCTAAAAAAAAAATCATCCCATAAATAAATGAATAAAATTAATTTGACTATTTCATGAAATGTAAAAGCCTAAAAAAAAGAAGACAAAAGTATAGTAATTAAGTTGAATGAACATAAATAAATCTAGCTAGCTATAACTTTGAAGTGTGTATGTATACCTTAAAACGCTTGACTTCAGCTTTGAGAGTCTTGATAGCATCATCATTCCACCTCTCAAATTGACGTTCGTCCTCAGAGAAGAACTGGGAACATCCTCTTCTGATGGATCTCTTGTGCTCATGGTGTGATTGTGTCAGTATTGATGCCCATGATTTCTCATCAACTGCAATTCCTAAATGAATGAAGAAATATTTTTTTCGTATAATTTTATAAAGCAAAAACTAACCTACCACCTTCAGTAATAAGATTAATTAGCAATTATTTGTATCGTCGAGAAATCTTATAATTTTTTACTATTGTCAAAGTCATTATTGACATTTTGAAGCCCATAATGCCAAATGATAACAACATTAACATTGACATTATAGTTGAGTTGTAAAATTTTAATTTGGACTACATTTTACAGCTCAATTACAATGCAAAAGTAATTAATTAAGCTGAATGGAAAAAGAGGAGACAGAAAGGATATTGAAGCTTTAAATTTGGTAAAAATGAGGACAAAAAAAGAAATTAAAAATAAATTCATCAATTTCAATGACTATGTTTCACTGTCATATGCCACCTAGAAAGAAATTTCATGATAGCAAAGCATCAAAAGGAAAACAGTACCTAAGGAGTCTAGCTAGGTGATAGAATAAAATTAGTTTGGAGGAAGGAAAAGGA